TTGATACTAACTCAATTCTGGTAAGCCCCAGAAATTTTACTTCACTATAGTTCACTTCTATCTCCCTCTTTTCTGAGTTATTATTGTCATAGGTAGTCAATCGATATATCCATCATTTGTCTATCTATATAACTATCAATGACCCATCCATCCTGTCTATTCTGTATGGGTATCTACCTATCCGGTTATAAGCATGACACTGCAATGTCATATATATTGCCTGCCTTAAGTGTAGGACACAAGATTATGCCACCATGTCAGCCACTGAAGCTGTCACCGGCCAGACCCAAAGTTGCAGGCTTGTGATGGGCCTCCACCCCGCCGCCTAGGACGGTAAAACACTCCGGTTCCAGATTTGTCTGGCGCCAAGACAACTCGCCTCTTCTCTGGGGTGTTTAAGGTGAATGTTGGTCGTAGCGGGTAGGACTCTGAGACCCCCTTTGCCACTGCTCACTGAGCCTCGGGTCTCGGCTCTTGGCAATTTTGGAGGCAGGCAGGCACTTGGAAGAGGGCGTGGAGCCTCTGGCTCTGCTTCCTACTGCTGGGCGGCCTTGCCGAGTGGCTCGGCACCTCTGTGCCTGTGTGTCCGCTCCAGTGAAACCAGAGCACTCCAGGACCTGCGCGTGTCAGCCTCGTGAGGCCTGAGCCCGCTCTCATAAAGCGCTTGGTAATCCCTGAGCCCGCATTCGTGAGGGTCACTGGCAGTTGAGGGAGGGCCTTGGAAGAGTGAGAGTCCCCTGACATGGCGTTTCCGGTAGACGTGGACGGAGAAGGTTGGCAAACATTTCCCTACCAGTTGCCACAAAATATAAATGTAATCGATCCTTACTCTGTACCGCATCATCATACGATTGAATGTCTAATTGTTTCCTAAGAAGGGAAAAGAGCTTTCTTATAATTTTAGAAGGCTTGTTGTAACCATTCCAAGGAAATCTGACCCGCAACCTTGAGACTAAAGGGTTTTGAGGCAGAACGAACCGGAGTTGCTGTGAGCTGGATGGGAGGCGGCGGCGAGCGCCAGGGCAAGGAGTCGGGGACGATCACTGATGTAAGAAACGGGAGCCCTGAGCTGGGGGCGCCTGGCGGGCGGGCCTGTGTGAGTCCCTGTTTGGATCTACGACTTCTGGGGCTACGGGCCACCCCCGCGGAGGGGTCCCTGGCCAGTCAGGGAGCGAACCTGGAGAAGGGAAGGGCCCGGCCGCTCGCCCCCTCCCGCCCTGACAGCCTCCCGCCTGTGTGCGGGGGCACACGCTGGGTGCATACCCTCCCGCTCCCTGTCCCCGCTGCCATTCCTTTTGACGACTGATTTTGTTTTCACCGTTTTATCATAAAACACTTCAAGCATACAGAAACTTGAATTTTACAGAGGAAAATGACCTGATGGGGAAGGAGAGACACACCTCCCCTGCAGAAGAGTCCAAGTAATTGCTGTAGATACTCACGCTCAAGGAAGCGGGGTCGAACACCCCCTCCCTCCCCCTCCCCCTGCTCCTGGAGTGTGGGCGCCCATTGCAACACCTGCCTCAGCCAGGGCACTACGGCCAGCACCCCAGCGGTGTGGCCCTCAGCACCCTCGATGGGATGGGATGACAGAGGCACTTGACCCGTGGGCTCAGAATCCACAGTCTCGTCCTCATTGGGAGAAAAACACCAAATCCCAGCCTGACCAGTGCGCCTCAAACTGACGTCGAAGGCAAGGACAGTCAGCGACTGCACAGCCAGAGGGGCCGAGGGAGGCGTGGTGACTGGGGGTCCGGTGGGAGGGACGGCACCTAATCACCACGGCAGGGATCCTTGCACAGAAAAGGACATTAGGGGAAAACCAAGGAAATCCGAATAGACTTTAATAATCATAACTCACCAATAGGGGTCTCTGGATTATGACCCTGTACCAAACTGACTTCAGGTGTCAGTAATAGGAGAAACAGGTGTGATTTATGGGAACTCTCTGCTATCTTTGCAATTTTCCTATAAACCTACAACTGTTCTAAAAAATAAAAGGAAAAAACCAACCTCTCGACTCTCCACTCCTTTTGCTCAGAATGATTCTCAGGAAGCCTGGCAGCCTGGCCCACAGGATCTCAGGTCCTGTCACATTTGTCCCCTGGTCTCAGTACGAATGCCTTGGCCCCCAAGCTCAGAGCTGCTGGAGACAAGGAGCTCTACTGCCACCCAGTGGGCATTTTCGAGTAAAACGTCACTGTGCACGGCACCCCTCCGGCAGGGAGCAGCCCCTTCTCCACGGATCCCTGTTCCAATTCTGGACTTTTCCTATCTCTGCTCCTGTTCCCAACCGTGCAATCATGCTGTGCGGTTAAACTACACTACTCAAACAAGGCTTGTGGAAGGAGGGGGGCATGAGGGGATTGGATGTTTTCCACTTCTGATGACCTCGAAGAGCAATTTCCGTGCAGCGGGTATGGGCGAGCGGTGGGGGGTCGGGGAGTGGGTGGGGTGGGGTGGGTAAGAACCAGATAAAAGCTGTGTCGTGAAACCATTACCGTGGTGGCCTTGGAGCTCGGTCCTGCTGGGGAGCACTTATTCCAGCGGGGGCCCCGGGCACTGGGGCTCGGGTTGCTTCTGGGGACAGGGGCTACACTGCTGGTGTCCTGGGCCACAGTCCGCAGCTTTCAGAGTGGGCGCCCATGGGGCGGGGCGGGGCACTGCCAGGTCCCCTGAGTGGGTTCACAGGATGGGGCTCAGCACCCAGCCCTGCTCCACCCACCTCATCCCCCACAGAGGGAGGTCCTGCGTGGGGAGAGGGCAGGACCACATGGCGACTCGGTCGGGCACGGGGTATGCAGTGCGGGTCAGGAGTGGGGCCCCTTGCCGCCTGCACACGGGGTGGGGGTGCTTTCTAAGGCAGGGGTGTTTGGCGTGTGGAGGGTAGTGTGTGGGAGGGAGGGCGCCAGCTGGGGAGCAGCCCCGTCCGCAGCTTCCCTGGGGTCGCCGCCGGCACTGTCTGCCACCGCTGTGGCTCGGTCTCCACCAAACGAAGGCCCAGCTGCTGTACACGAGGGCCGGGCCGTGTTATTTTCTTGGATCACCAAGTATTTAGGGGATAAAACGTGTTACCAAGAACAGTTCTGATGAGCCGACACTCACTTTGTGGAGTATGTTGAAAAAATGTGTCTCCCCCCCCCATGCCTCTGCGGTCTCCCTGGAACGCCGCCGAGACAAAGTGCTTCCCACCCCGCAGGGGACATTCTCACCCGCAGAGGCCCGTGGTCGCTGCGCTTGGGAGACCTAGATCCCTGAGCCCGAGACCCCACAGGGAACCAAACATCACCAAGATCACTTCCAGCACACGCCCCGTGGGAGCCTCAGGCACGCTGTGGGGCGCCACAGGCTTGCGCAGCCATTGCCGTTGTGTGGTCCCTGGTGACTCCGTCAGGGGGAGGCTCCCACGAGGAGGTTCGCGAGCCCGTGCCCCTGGTTCCTGTGTCTGACTGGGAACGAAGTGCAGCCCGCAGAAGCCCACGGTCCCTCCCTAGCGAGAGCTGAGGTGCGGTGCTCAGACCGCTCCTCAGGGAGGCCTCCCTGGGGGCTGGTTTCGGGAGCCAGCCAAGGTCACTTTTGGATTGTGGTGCGGGGGCATCTCACCTTGTCCTTCACACCTTCTGGAACCGGATGGTCAGAGAGGGGCCACCAGACTCTGGAAGACGTGGTTAAGGACACAGAAGTGGCTGGGGAGAACGGCCCCTACACATCCAGAAGGAGCGAAGGGGCAGTGTATCCGGGCCACCGTTCTCTGTCCTCCGAGGGGCACTGCTGCGAGTTCTCAGGTGGGACTGCTCCTTACCTGGGCGGGCTCTGGCCCCCCGAATGCACAGCCATGGGGCACAGCAGCCTCAGACGGCCCTCAGAGTCACCGCCTCGCTTGAACCTTATCCGTAAGAAAGGCAGGGCAATAACCAAGCTTCTTGGAGCAGCCTGAGGCTCAGTTTCCTTTTTTTGGGGGGCGGGAGGGCAGCAGGAGAAGACACCTGACTGGTGACTGGCAGGAAGAACTGGTGTGAAGCAGGAATCCAGCTCCCGGCATGGCCGCTTCCTGTCTGAGGGAGGACGCCCATGTCCACACCCAGAGGCGGCAGCCAGCCTGGCAGTGCAGCTGAGGCACGCCCGACGCCAGGGACAGGCCCTGAGCGGGAGAAAGACTCCGAGAGGTGAGCGCGCGCGCGCGGGCGGTGGCGGGTGCAGCCTGTGACAAAAGCTGTCATCGTGTCTCGTGATGGGCTGTTCACAGGGGCACAAATGCAAGGATCTGTAAGACACCGTCCACACGAGTAGTGCTGTTTCTCAAAAATTTTATTTGAATTTAAATTACAGGGCCAGCCAGATAGTCTGATAAGAAAGTTACTTTTCCTCAGGAGAAAGGAATGCTCTCACGGCATTGCTAACAACTGTGTACATCTCCACTATTTTTTAAGGGTTAAAAATCACATGGAGTAACTGACTCATGTAAAATTAAACCTTTATAACAAAGAGGAACCACTTCCAGTAGAATAGTTTTGGTACTATGAATATATTAAATGGTCATAACTTCAGATGCAACGTTTCAACTTTGAATGTTTTCACGTTTTTGTTTAAAAACCAACCAAGCAACCAATGAACCCCCAAATCATCACTCCCTCCAGGCCTTGGGGGACAGCACCACGCCGGCGGCTCCGGACGCGCCGCGGCCCTCTGCCCGCCACACCTGCCCGCTGCGATGTGGCTACCGCGTGGAAGCTGCTTCGTTGTCTCAGGTTCTCAGCACCGGCTTGGCAGGGAACCCTTTCTTCCACCCGGTGTAACGTTCTCACGTGAAATCCTGATACCAGCTCTAGACCACAAGGACCAGGACGCTTCGTCCGGCCAAGTCTGCTGTCCCAAACACCTCGACGTTTTCATTTCAATAAGCTTAGATCGCTTCCCCTACTGCCAACGGAAAAATGTGGATGATTTTACACAGACTATGGTCAAGACAGCCTCAGGAAAACCAATTATAATGTGGACTGCCATTTAATTAAATGGAATAAAATACATCTGTATTTTCTGGAGCTGTTTTCCTAACTGGTGTTTTTACAACCTGCTGAAACATCACTTGGGAGTCTCATTTTACTGGCCGATAAATAATTGAATTAGTAAGAGAGGCTAGCAACGAATAATCATATAAATTTCTTAGTCAGCCACAGCCATGCTGAATTCGAACTGGCAAACTCTGATTTGTAAGTTGTTAGTTGTGATCTTTGTATCACTAAGATGAACAGATACCATTCTAATAACTTTACAGAGATATGTTCTAGGAGACGCTGTTCTGCCGTGGTCACAGTAACAAAAAGGTGGTGCAAAATCAGTTACTTTATAAATACTGATAATTTGCAGCATTAAGGAATAGGACATTAAAAAAAATAAATTTCCCCATAGAACACCTATGACTAGGAACTCTTTTTTTTCTAAGAGAAGCCAAAGTCTTAATTATTCAGTTTCACAACTATGGTACTGGGTTACTTACTCTAAAGAAAGAAAAGGTGCTCTACAGGTTTCCCACACACACACAGAGAATCAGCATTAATTTAGCATAATCGGTATCATTCATAGATCTAGCAAACTCATGACTCATTTTACATGAATAAGGCCAATATTATGCAGAAAAGTGGAGCTGAGTTCCAAGTCTGTATTGTACCCTATTGATGGCACCCCATTAGATAACTGAATACGAAGGATTGGTTTACTTTTTCCTTTTAATGCTGTGATACTTAAATGTTAAATCAGCATTTTCATGTGATCTGAAGTATTTCAATTACATATGAGCATTCATTTTTTGCAAAAACTCAATATTAGGTAATAGTTACATACTAATACAATAACATTCCTCTGCTGTACAAATTAAATCATTTAAAAGAAATGAGCATTCTAAGAATTATATACAAAAGAAACCTATAAGCATTGTTGAAATGAAATGCGAGGTGTTGTTGCTAGCTCTACTGTTTGAAAAGACCTTCCAAAAGGGAAATTAACAAACACCTTCCAACATATCCAGGTTTACAAGTCTTAAGAAAATCAAATGTCAAAAAATTCTAGAAAGCTGTGAAAGCATATATACATTTTCCTTATGACCTTATGAAGCTTCACACTTCTAAGAAGTTGCTAAGTTTCAGTATCAAGTTATTCGCATGTCAACTTTATCCACCCAGAAAGCCTACATCGTGGGCACGGTTCCCCCGATTTCAAACCCAGCATGACCCGCCCTTGAATGAAGGCAGACCACTCACCAAGAACCCACGCCCAGCTCTCCCACAGACAAACGCACACCCGCAGGCCAGCCTGGCCCTACAGACGCCTCCCGTTCCTCTGCCACACCGCCTCCCCTCCTTCTGCCCTCATGAACCTAGCCGTGCTCACAACTCCTACAGCAAACAGGGTCTCTGAATTCTGAAATGACACAAAGATCAAGAAAAGTCCACGTGTGCTCTAGTGTGCAAGAAAGCAGCAGCTACGTTCTCCAGGTTTGACTAAAAAAACAAAACAAAATAAAACAAAAAAGGTAAAATGAAAAACCGTTCACTTAACAGCAGATGAGCAGTAATGTTCCTCACGAATCGGTAAGAGTGCCTGATGCTGAAGAGCTAACAGCAAGTGCTGGGTTTGGGTTTAATATTGTGGATGTTTATGGGGAGTTAGGCTTCTTGCTGAGCTGGTCTCTTCAAGTCCCTGATCTGTTTGACTAAATAGGTCTTCTCGTCGTTGAACTGCTCGTCCTCGGTCCTGTCGTTCTGAAACTTGCTGAGGAACTCTATGAGTTTGGTCTGGTTCTTGAGGAGGATGTCTAGGATGGGCTGTGTCTTGTTAGGATTGGCAACAAACACCTGCCAGAGAGAGATCGCTGTTAGCCCCAGGACAGAGCACGCAGGGCACACGCAGTGGTACTTCCCTCCCTGGGGCGCACAGTGAAAGCGAGGTGACTCGGTCAGAGGCTTGTGCTTCGGAAAACCTTATTTTACAATATGAGAATTCAAAAAAGTCTTCTGTGTTTTAGGGCCAAAAAGACTGGCACATTCATTAATGCTCTGAAACTCAGTAGCTGGTATTGAATGTAGACGCCAATTTTAGGATAAAATGGGCAGAAATCATTTCTGGGCACCAAAGTTCACAATGGATTTTCAGAATAAAACCCCCATGGGAAGCATTACGACATGGATTAACCCTTACTTTGTGATTAATAACCTTCTTTGGCAAAGACAGATGGCACCCCTCTGTAAATACACTTAGTTTGTTCTCCAATCTAAATGGTTTGCTCTATTTCTGGGTCTATTTTTCTGTTTAAATGTTGTATCATATTTAGAAAATATGAAAATTACCAGAATTGAATTGTATCACTTAGATTATCAAAGTGAGGCTAATAATAGTTTTAGTACTCTACCTTAAAAACGTGAAAGGCCTCAAACTGGATGTTACGACTTTTGTCTCGTAGAAGATTCATCATTAATTTGAGGTTCTCAGGTTTACTGATATATTTTGTCATAATTGTGAAGTTGTGTCGGTCTAATAGTAGTTCACCAAGAAGCTGAGAAGACAGTTAAAGAATTACTCTACATTAAGATTCAAAGAAAAACTAAAGTTTAAACAAAACCCATTTAATAACCATCATCACGAAGCACAGAGCAGCACGAGGCGCCAAAGCCCCGAAGCGTCCCCCGCCGGCCACCCGAGCGCCTGCCCTTCCCGTGGGTGTCCAAACCTGCGTCGAGTCTGACGCTGCTGGCGTACCCCGGCATGTCTGGCCCCGCATGTAAGACCGCCGGCGTGTAACTAAAAATTAACTTTATCTGAATTTCACAGGACAAAAGGGCCATGGCCAAAGTTTCCCACACAGTAATTTATACACATGCCAAAGCTGGCATATCTGATTCAGAAAGGTTTATAAAAATAAAAACTTTTCTGTTCCTTCTTAAGCCAAGTATCCTGGAGATACTGCCTTTTCCCCTTGGTGACTCATCACTAATAACAAATTAATTAATAACATCAATTAAGCTAGAAAGAAACCTGTACCTTTAGGGCTCACAGATTTCCATGGAAGTGGGTTACACTTTGTCAGCCCGTAACTTTTGTCATCGCTGACTCTAGATTTTTCTTTTTTGGAAGCCAGCAGTCACATCTCTGTGCTGTCGGTGCCAAGGTCTAGTGGGGACTAGTGTTTGGTGCTGTGGCCCCAATGGGGTGCGGCCAGGCTGTGGCCCTTGTGGACAGAGGCAGAAGCATAGTCGTGGAGGGACTGCCCCGGCCCCAGGCTGCCTGGGTTCTAGTCCTGGCTCCCTGCTCCTTGTGAACTATGTGACCTTGAACGTGTTATGTAACTTCAATGGAATTATTCATAACCTATTTTTTAAAAAAGATTTTTACTTATTTATTTTTAAATAAGAGGGCAAGGGAGGGAGAAAGGGAAAGAAACATCAGTGAGTGGTTGTCTCTCACACGCCCCCTTCTGGGGACCTGGCCCACAACCCAGGCTTGTGCCTGACTGGGAATCGAACCAGTGACTCTTTGATTCACAGGCCAGCACTCAATCCACTGAGCCACATCAGCCAGGGCTCATAACCTCTTTTGATACAGAGCAGACAGACCCGTCTCTGGTCCACAGTTTCACTGCTCCGACCGCACCCCGGCCACAGCAAGTCCCAGTCATTCGGGCAGCATCCTGGGCAGATCACACCAGTAGTGTCTCTATCTAGTTGATAGGATTTCAAGTTTTAAAAATATGCTTCAAAATCTAATGCATTGCATTGTTAAGACATAAAGTCCTCTTTAAAACTCTGTATGCTGCACTTTAGTGTCTCTAACTTACAAGGAGGTGGGAAGGTGCCTCGCGAGGACCACTGATGAGCCTGTTCCTTTCCGCACCAATTTTGACCACAGACAAATGTATTTTCCCCTAAAGGTCTAGGACCCACATGTCAGCATTTTTCCCTTTCCCCAAAATTCAAACACAGGTGAAGGTGAAGAGAAATAAACTACATAAAATAAATAATCTGTCATACCTTAAGTGACTGTCTTTTTGTCACATAATTTTCTGAATGAAGTAACTTTTCATATTCACTGAAGAACTAAGACAAAAAAATACGTATCAGTTATTTGTTTTTTGAAGACCAGTAGATAATGCTATAAAGTTTGAGCAGAAACTACTACGAACCCACGAAGGCCCATCACTGCCCGAGCTGGCCTCCCTCCCGCTCTTCCAAGCCTTCCAACTTGCTAGGACGCCCTCAGGGAGTGCCTGCCGCGCGCCTCTGTGAAAAGGGTTTCTGGGACCGACCCCCTCCCAGCTCTACACAGGCCCGTGCGTAGCTTCAGTCTGGTCCTCTTCTGTCCCCCACTCCACGTGCATGAAACACAGCTCCGGCCCTCTGATTGCTTCCTCACTGTTGAGTCAAGCTGTCATTTCTTGGTGTTATATTAAAAAATTCATATTCTTTACAGATAAGAACTCAACAAGTCCAAAGCACAACCACAAAGAAAAAAGCTACTGTTCTCTCTGTGCACCACGCATGGAGAGAAACAATTAAGAATAGAAGAGAGAAGACATCCCGCGTTGTGTTGAATCGGTAGGCAACCGAGAGAATGCAGGACTTGGGCTCCAACTTGGAAAATGGGAGGGATTTCATTAAAAAACTGGGAGGGTGGGGCTGGGGGAGGGAAGGTATTCTTGGTGGGTAAAAAGGGAAGGACCCAGAAGAGCAGAGAGCTGGACGATGCAAAATGCTTCAGGTCCAAGAGCTGACAAGTGTCCACAGGTTTAGAAAACGGTGCTCACCCACAGCAACAGGTCACCACAGTGGCAGGCAGGGGAGGAGGAGATGAAGTGAGGGGCCCACCTGGGCCACAGCCGCACTTCCAGAAAGGGAGGTGAGAAGACCAGTGCGTGCGCGCGCACGCGCGGTCTGTCTCTCTCTCTCTCTCTCTCTCTCTCGTTTTAACTGCAGGAGACTTTAAAAGCTCCACCACTGCGGAGCCACGAGCTCGGCGTGGAGAGCAGTGCTGTCCCGGGGCTGCGCTGGTGGCGGTGGCGGCGGACGCTGCTCTGGGGCTTGCCCACATTAAAACTCCCTGCGCCTGTGCTTTATGCTGGGTCTTCAGTGGCCGAGTTCATCTGTGGTTTAGAGAAGGCATTGGCAGACTATGGCTCATAGACCAAATCTGCTGCCTATTTTTATAAATAAAGTTTTACTGGGGCATAGCCATGCTTATTCGTTTATTGTAAACAAACTTGTTCATGTTTTTTTATTTCTGCTTTTGCAGACTAACAGGCAGGAGCGCTGACAGAGACCACAGGACCCATGAAGCCGCAAATATTTACTATTTGTCCCTTTGCAGAAAAGGGTTTTTCGGCCTTGGTTTAGAGCTGCCTATGCGTCATTTCTTTTGCCCACCTCTAGGAAGAGGTGGGATGGCTGCCTACTTACTTATGTGAGCGAGTCAGGCACGTTTTCAGAGAAGGCTGTTAACCCTGCCTTCTCAAGTGACCATCAAACTGATGGTCAAAACTACTGGAACTGCCTTTAATTAGGAACATGTAACATGTACACCTCAAGTTCTTGACAGAAAAACTAAGTCCAGATATTTCTGCTACACGATTCTTGGTTGCAAGGAACTGAGCATTCCCGTGCATTCCCCCAGACGTGCTGGGCTGCGTCTGGGACCAGGGTGGCTGGGGACAGGCGCTGTTCCAGCCCCTCAAGACCAGCTCTGAGGGCCGTGTTTTAGCTCAGCATCTTCTTTACTGCGGTGTCACCTCGAGGGCTGCGTGCGCTACACGACTCTGTCATTTAATTCCCTTCTAGGCATGCTGCTGAGAGACATGGGTTTCAGCTCCCAGTGCTAGAAAAGGCTGTTTCTTTTGAGTGACAGGCATCTCTTTTGCTTCACAGACTGTGGTCTTTTCACCGACTTAATTTCCCTCTATGCTTTGGTTATTACAAAGCTCAGGGCCCAGGTGCCCAGGATCTTAGAGCATGTATTTTGGTTTAATAACCTCACCTCTCGCTTAATGTAAATTACCCACACCTCCCTACTTCCCTTCTCCCTCCCTGAGTTCTGACTGTACCGCATACATTTCTGTTAGCTGTATCACCTGAATTTTTCTAAAATCCTGTTAACAGATGTTTTCCATGAATAGGACGCAGGAAAATCTTTTACTGCAAAATTAAATTGATGCCACCTGCTGTAGTAAATTTCTTGGAAATTGGTTAGTACTAGTATTATCTTTGATAGGCTTCAAGATACTGGTATGTTAAAAAAAAACAAAACAAAAACAAAACCCTTTGAGACCACATGGTAATAAGAATGTTGGAGCACTGCGTCCTGCACTCGATACACACATTCTTATTTAGTCCTCACAACAGCCCCGCAGGCAGGCACCATTACGAGCCCCCTGTGAGGCTGAAGACCCTGAAGGCAGAGAGGGTGAATGAAGGCCGTGGCAGGTCTCCGGGCACAAGCAGGCTGGGGCTTGAGGCCCGACTCCAGGAAGTCTGGTGCCAAAGCCCGTGCTTCTAACTATTGTAAAAGGGCACAGAGGAAATGACCATGCTGCCATATTAGACCAACACACACATACACAAAAAGGCACACATTCACATCCATACACACAGGCAGGAGTAAAAATAAATGTCCAGTAAGGTTCACACTGTCTATGGGGCTATTCACGAGGGACTTCCTGTGTACTGTGCATTGTGTTACGGTGTTACTGGGAGTGGGAGGGAAAAAGGAACATGAAAGAATTAGCATAGTAGCATAAGATTTTTAAAGATTTCATAAGAATCTTATAATTTAGATGAAGAACAAAATGAACAATGAAGATTAACAATACCTAGGATTTCAAAACCTCGAATGACTAGCGGAAGAACGAGACCTAAGCCCGCTGTCGCGAGACGAACAAGCCTGGTGTGGACGGCCATCACTGCGACTTCCCTAAGGGCGCCCACGAGGCGGGACGCGGCCGTTCGGCCCCCAGGGCACGAGCAGGCGCCCGCGGGTCTCGCGGAGGGCAGAGCCGCATGGGGCAGAAGAGAATGCCTGGCACAGGGGCCTGAAGGCTGCTGTGACGGTCAAAGGGCAGGGCAGAAGCGGGCCCTGCTCCCCTGAGGCCGGAGCTCAGCTCCCCGTCCGCTGCCGCCCCCCTTTCTCTTCAAGTGTCAGCAGCGCAAATCTGAGCCCCAGTGGAGAGCCAGGGGTCAGTATATTTTCCTTTTATCTCAACTGTGTATCATATGCCATTCAGCACAAGGCATTTTATTCTCCTCTCCTAAAGCAAGAAAAGGCACAAAGGGCAGTGTATCAGTCAAGAAGGTCAAAGTCTCCTTCTGACCAATTAACACTCCTTACCCCATTTCAGTACAGAAATGACTGTCACCATCTGAAAACTTTACATACGCAAAATAAACATTCTGGTATGAAATATAACCTAAACCGTTCAATCCTGGTCACAAAACTTAAAATTTGCTATTTTAGAATATTATTTCATATACTTACTCTATCATAATGCTGTTCCAAAAATTCTGCACTGAGCAATTTATGTCTTGTAAGCAAATCCTAGAAAAAGAAAAGACAGTCAAAAAGTTGTTCTGCATTCAAGTTAATTTAGAAAAGAGAATCCTAAAACATTCCACGCCATTTACCTAATAAAAACTGTTAAGGTTACTATACTTAAAAACATCTGAGCATAAATTGTACTGGAAATAGTGATTTTGGATATGAGTAAATAAAATCAGTAATTGAAATTGTGATTTTAGCGATTATGAATAATCACACATCTATAGCTCTTAGAAGAAAAATTTAAAAACAAATACATGACTATGAAAATATACACTCAAAGAGAATAAAGAATTGAAGTGAAATAAAAGTAAGTAATTGTGATAAAATGTCAAATAGAATACTGCTCCTGGTGGAAAAAGAGGAAATTTCTTTAATTAGAAAAAGTATTGGAGGTTCCATTTCCTTCCTCCTAAATTCAACTGCATTCAATTTCATGCCTCATGCAATGTTTTGCAGAGCTAGAATGTTTCTGAAAGCCCTGTCATTCTGTAAACATTAGCTCCTAAGCAAGAATACTGCTGCAGAGATGTAAGATCAGAAACTAACAAGACCTTGGTCTAATTCTGCATTATCATGAAACAGAGCGGATACCTCACCCCATGGATTTCCTTGGAAACAAGTCAAGCATCATTCATTCAGAAAATATCTACTATGTGCCACGTAAAGTTCCAGGTGCTAGGGTCACAAAGGAAAAAGATGTGGCCCCTGCCTTCGAGGACCTGGAAGCTGGCGACAACTAGCCAGGTGGGGAGAAAAAGAGACCATGTGACAGCAGGAATGGCCAGTCAATATTAGGTGAATTAAGGAATTAAATTCCTTCAGAGCCCCTGTGGGACAGGAGGGGGCCTATAATCCCCCTTCCTCAAAACTTAATCCTTAACTTGTGTCCTTTGCTGTTTACGCTAGAGTGCCCCCCTGCCCCCCCCCCCCCCCCCCGCTCCGTTACACTGAGCGAGGGTTTCCTAAGTACGTCCAAGCGCCACAGGAAGGGGAAACGCTCCATGGCCACACCGATGTGAAAAGCGCCGCGGCCCGGGCGCCCTTGGGGCCCTGCGGCAGGGGGTTCACAGGGGCTGGGGGCTGCGCGCTGGGCCAGCGCCTTCCCCGGCAGGTGCAGCACCCCCTCTAGGAACCCACGACCTTCAGACCTCAGCACGGCACCACTTCCACGGGGAACCCTCCCTGACAGAACCGTGGTCACAGGTGTGGCTGACGCTGGGGGTCACCTGGTGACATCTCAGGCTGGGCTGCGCGCTCTGTACACCCACGGGCCACACCTACTTTTTACTCATCTTTGAATCCCTAGCACCTACGCAGTGCCCAGCACATAGTAAGAGCTTAATATCTAATAAATGAATGAATGAACTGAAAAACTCAGGGAATGTTTGAGAAAATGGCAAGGTTCAAAGTATGCTTTTAAGAAGGCTTCTAATTCCACTCCAAAGATTTACAAGTGTTTAAACTGCTGGACAGGGTATATATTATACATCCACGAAAGATGTACCCAATTTATTCCAAATCCCCTTAGGGATTAAAGAGGCCAAATTAGAAAACCTGGAGTTTATTTTGGGTACCTGAGTTGTCTCGTAAGAAATGCAAAGAGGCATCCAACCCCATGTAGGGGAGAAAGAGGAAATGGAGGGGCCGGGGGAATTGATTTATCTCAGTATATTTTGGGGCCAGAGGTAAGGGAGAGAGAAACAAGAGAAATTTAAGGGCGTGTATATGAAGCAAGCTTTCAAGAGCCCTTCCCTCCTCCTCCTCACGGGCTACTGCGGCCTGTCTGCGGCGGCCTCCCACGCGCAGGAGCCTCCTGGGCAGGGCTCTGCCTACGGCTCCCCGCAGCCCCGCACCTGGAGAGCAGCCCAGCGCGGCAGGCGTGGAGACTCCAGGCGTGGAGACTTGGGGAGTGAACTCAAAAGACAAACGAGGGAGGGAACTAAGGGATTAGGGAGCTGGGACCTGTGCCGAGTGTCACTTCTCCTTTCTGTGGTAGATCACTGGGGGGCCCAGGCTCACTGTTCTGTCATAACCTGACCGCAGAGAAGGCCAGAGGAAGGCATCTGAGAGACAGTGGTCCTCACCTGGGGTTGGGTTCTCAGGAACAGGTAGGTAGAAGGTGCTGCTTTAAAAAGCAAAGGTCCTACGCACGTTGTTCAGCAGGCTGGAGAAAGGGGACTTTCTGCTCTGCGGCCGTATCTCAGGTAGGAGCAAGAGGCTCACACTTGGGCCACAAAGGAAGAGGGACCACCTATATCTCCCCTTCTAGGGGGGGCCTGCTTGTTACCATCTGGTTTAAGGAGAGCATGAAACTCGGAAGATCACTGCCAATCTAGGAATCAACCCCCAATGGCCCTGGGGTACGAGACACAGAAGAGGGGTGCTCTGCAGCCCCTAAAGCAGGGGCTGAGCCCGGGGCCCCAAATGAAAGCCCTTGGTAAAGGAGGGCCACACCAGCTCAGGGCCTGAAGGGGACAGTTTAACATCGGCAGGAAAGGAGCAACTGCCGAGAGGCAGCACGGAGCAGAAGGGCTGATGCTGGGCTGGGAGACAGGGAGATGGGACTTGGGCCGTGCCTCCGTCTGCTGAGAGGTGAGGAGAAAGCTCACCCTCGGACTGGAGCAAAGAGCTTTGGACGGCTCGAAGCAGGGCGCGGGCACTGAAACCAACAGAACTGAAGGGGAAGGGAAGTGGGTATGCAGTCAGGACCGGTCAGCTCCCTGTCCAGTTTAGACAGTTTAGAGGGTGCGTGTGGTCCCAGCCCAGCCAGCTGCTAGGCCAGCAGCGCCAGCAGGGAAAGAACGGGATGGCTCACTTCCCACCGGTCTAAGTTCCAGTGCACTCAAGGCCCTGGTATAACTTGGATGAAAGTCAGGAATCATATCCCAGCTCCAGCAGATTAAGCAGCCAACTTTTAGGGTGGTTTGAATTTAAAAAGATGCCTAAAAATTATGTAAATCTGGGCCCCATGCCTCCTGTGATAAAGACAGCCCTGGAATCCTGGGAGAAGTGCGGTGCAGCCATGGGGCTGGCTCTCAGAGCCTCAGCTAGTCGCTTGGCCCAATTTCCTACTTGATGCTTGAGTGTGTATGTCCAAGGACATGACACCCAATTCTTCCAGCTGTGGGCTTCCCCTTGGAGCTCTTAGAGGTAGCACTTTCTTCCTGTTCTAGATCAAAGCCTATGCCCCGGTTATTTCCAGAAACAGGTTTAGTCCATTTTTTAAAGGCCCCCATTTCACATACAGCAGTGCTCTCACGCCCAGTCCCTAAGGAGTCTTCTCCTCTCCACGCTAAATATGCCCAGTTCCTTTAACCACTCCTCGCACGACAGGTGCTGAGTCCCCCTCACCATCTAGTGTCTTCTGAAAGTCATCTACTTGTCTGTGTGCCTCTTCAAGCGCAGCGCCTGGATCGGAACACATTTACGTGCTGTTACCTGGTAAGCTCAGAGTGGACTCAGACCATCAACAGCTCCTTAGGTCACACACTGTGTGGTCACATGTAGCTTGGGGGCAGCACCATCAGACTGTTTAATTTTAATGGACGTATTCAGAATTTTGTTTACTCATAGTGAGCTCTGCAGTCAGACTGCCTGGGTTCAAATTCTGGCTTCCCCATTTATTCTCTGACTTCACTCAACATTTCTAGGCTTCAGTGTCCTTATCTGTAAAGCAGATAATAACAGTACCTCCTTCATAGGATTGTTTGAGTATGGTAAGTTACCTCCACTTTAGTAATTATTACCTTCGTATTAACTGTTACTATCATGCCTATTTCCCCATTCCATATTTATTCAATAGAGAGTTGGGGCCTCGAGTGGAGCCCCCAGTTACATGTATCTGGTTGTACCCTGCTGTCCTCTGGCTTCTTTAGGGAGCCTTGTTTGAGGCTCACAGCTATTTGCTCTCTTTCCCATCACGGCCATCACCTACACATCTGGTAAGTGTGCCTCGTCCCCCTCCATCAAAGTCATTGATAATGATCGACCTGGCCAGGTGGAGAGGCCCCGGAAGTCTCCCTCCAGCGTGTTGGCAATCCATTTTCCAGCATCTTATGGATACAGAACTCAGTGAGTCTCAGTTCACTCTACTGAAACTCCATCTAGCTCCTGATCCTTTTACTGTTTACGTGAGAATAGGCCTGCACAATTACTCAACATCTATTATGTCCTCATTGTCATAAAGGAATACTAACAGCTGCTGTTTATAGCACAACTACTGTGCGGGGCCACAGTGAGCCAATGTCCCAGCAGATGAAGACACAGACTAAATTAGCAGCAGAGCTAGGGACTGAGCCCAGGCAGCCATGCCCTCAAGCCCCCTGATTTGCTGGCATCAACGAGATGAGTGCAACTGAACTTACTCTTAGCGAATCCATGCTGGCTGTGGGTACTCGGCTTCCTTTCCAAAATGCTCAGATATCATCTCTTTAGAAATACTTTCTAGAACCTTACACAGGCATAACATCAAGCTCCAAGCTCCACCAGCCTCTCTGGGGAATCTACCTTCTTTTACTCTGGAAAATTGGAAATATATTTGTTGGCCTTCTGATGCCCCTCCCAATCTCCTAATTCCTTAAAAAAAAAAATCACTAACAAATATTTGGCCACTGATTTAACTATCTCAGTACTGTTCATTCGGGCTACAAACCTGGGACACATTTAGAGCAGGTAGTTTTAATTTCCTTCTAAGACGCGGCCCACTTCCAGGGGCCTTACACCCAGAGATAAAGATGAGTGACATTTGTCTGCAAGTGCCTGTGTGCAGACTGCCTTTTCTGGGGAAGTTGTGCTGGTCACAGTCTCAAAGGACAGCACGAGCCATGGACCTGTCTCCCTTTCCCTACAAACATAGTCTTGGCAGACAGGACACCAGGAAAGCAGGAAAGAGGCAGCTGCCTCCCCGCGGGTCTTCCCGCAGGGCCGGCTCTCTGGGAGTTCCCTTGGGCTGGGGTGGGGAGGAGGCTTCGGTCTGTTTGCTAGGCTATGTCTGCTCCGTTGTCTTGGGTTTGGCCTCTCATCTATTCTGCTTTCAGGAGGGCTCTCTTTAATTAGCTCTCCACTTTCCCGGCACCAGGAGCAGCTGAGATACGGAATCCCACCAGCTTCCCAGGGCCCTCTCGTCTCAAGCTCACCCTCGGACTCCTACGAGGTTTCTGAAGTTTCCCCTCTTCAGGTGGAGACCACGGGCAGCTTGTGCCGAACCCTGCCTTCTGTGGCTACCATGACCTGACAGGGTTGCTTTTCCCACAGTGACTCCATCACCTTGGTGTGAATTTAATTCAAAGAAGCAGCTCTAACTGAGGTGACATTATCAGCAATGCCAATCAAGACTTTGTCAGATACTGGGACTCACATTTCTGGCATACACTCAGCACACCTGTCTCACCTGTTGGTCACTTTTGCCACCTGTACCAGGAGCACATCAGCCATGACCCCTTGGCTGGGCGGTCTGGCTGCATTCTCCCAGGCCTCTGCCGCCCCGCGCCGCCCCTCCCTCAGCCTCCGGCTCCCACAGAGCTGCTGCTCTCGGGCTCACGGCTTCTCCCCACACAGGACTGTCTCCTCGTCTTCACACAGGGTGCTGCTATGCCTCCCTTTATAACGGGTCTGCTGCTTCTGAATGGGGCACACCCTCCATCCTAAGCTGAGTCCTACTCCACCGACTGTGGTGACACCTAAGGCGTCATGTTGACCACGCTGCTGTCACCTTAAATTCACTTCGTCTGGCTTTGTCTGTTGACATAAATACCGGAGGTCTTACCTAAGCTTCTGATCCCCCTTTAATGGTTTCAGGGGAAAAAATCCCCAGGCACCTCTCACACTATCGTACTCTTCCTCAACGGGAGGCCCTGCAGGCCAGATCGCCAGGCTCTCATCCTGTTTCAAGGGTGTTCTTTCGCGCTGAAGGACATATTTTACCCAAAAACCAAGGCCTGTGCTCACCTCAGGGGCTCTTTATAATCGTAGAACCACCCTTACAAGAAAACTGGCCACTTCTCATTGTAACAGCGTTCATGCGTTCTAAGCATAGCAGCCTGCAAGTTAGTACGCTGAATTCTGCTTATGTTAAAGTAGCAGTCTAAACACTGTTACGGGGTCATGTGTTTTACATAAGGAAATGTAACACAGAAAGACTTGTTTTCATTGTGAAAACCACTAATGAAAGATTACTGCTTTATTTATACAGCTAAGCAAACAGCACAGAATGTTGCAATTCACAACAAAAATGTGCATGTTATACAGTGGTATCCTATCATACAGGTATTTTATTTAGAGAAATATACAACAGGGAGATAAGGCGGATGGGTGAGGGAGGCTACACGACACTCTGAATCGTGCGGGTGCTTCGGCCCACCCCACGCCTTGCACTGACTCAACAAGCCCGGGCATGGGCTCGGGCGGGAGGCGCGAGCCCGCTGTCCCCCAGGGCCCGAAGAGAAGCGAGCTACTTCATCTGGTGCTCGACCAAAGAGGCTACGGCAGGGTGCCCAGCACAGGAGAAAGCCCCGGCTGTTACAGCTACAGCCTGCGCTTGGTGAGTATTTAACAGAAAAGGATACTTTTGTCTGTCTTTTAGAAAGACAAAAAAGATAGAATCTAACTTTTCCACCCTTTTAAAGCTGCGACTCTATTCGTACCCCTAAGTCACACAGATGTATACAGGAGTGAGAAAAAGCAGGTTTACAGTTGTTCATATGGAAAATAATACAATAATCAATTATACTACGACAAGAATAAACTGTGTTGCGTGTCCTCACTGTATTGGTAAACCTACTTCCCCCCACGCTGTATATAAACTGTCTTCTCTCTTCCCTCTAGGGGGCAGCAGTGCATAGGCTAGGAGGGTGGAGGTTTCGGAAAGGCACACCTGTAAATCTGAATTGTAAGTGTATTTAAAATTCCTTGGTTTTTATATGTTACCTTGAATGTGGCAAATGCATCTGAAGCTATGTCAAATGTTGACATTTCAACATATCGGAAGAAATCATAAAACTGTTCTGACCACAGAATGATTTTTGCAAGTGGTTCATGTCTGATGCACTCTCGTAACATTATTCCACAATTCAGAGCTATTTCTGGAGATTCATACCTGCAAAAAGAAAAACAAACATGATTGTTCTTTTAAAACTCCAACACCAAACGGTTCAACTTTTCAGAACAGGAAGTGCTGGCTGCACCCTAACTGAGGGGGCAGAGCGGGTGGCGTGGCGCCTCTCAGAGCAGAGCATGTGCTTAGGGCGAGTTCCTCTTCAGGACACACGCACACTGTGCCCTGAAGTCGCTGGCGGCGACTGCTTCACCCCAAAGAACGATCACAGGCCCGAGAGTCATTGTGTGAATAAACGGTCATCATTCAAGCTAAAAAATTTGAAGAGAAGTATTTAGGGCCACAGCCCCCAAGAGGGATTTGTTTTACATGTGTGGTGCTCAACACCATCAGAAAACCCAAAAGCTGAATTGAAAAACAGTATGAAACAAACAAAACAGCTTCCTAAATCCATAGTATCTAAACAGCTCTACCACATACATAAGATTTACATTTCATTGTTTCAATCCAATACTCAAAGCAGTCCTTTCAAGACTCTCAGCGATATGTGAACCCCGCGGAGCAGGAAGCCTGGTCCTGAGATACTCCATCAAGCGGGCCCACAGGGCACGGGAGACGCCCTCCGCGGCCCTCTTCTACACCCACCTCAGCGGCTCTAGTGTCTCCCCTTCCTGGGCTCCGAAAGAAAACCCCATTTCCCCCCTGCCCGCAGGCTTTTCCCTGCCGCTGTGCACCGGGTCCTGGGGCTGGCTCTGCCGCGCTGTGTGAACATATCGCTCTTCTCTACTTCCTCTCAAGCTGCATGCACGGGTGTAATGTCTTTCCCCTCAATCTCCTCCAGTCCCTTGCAATCAAATTCCACTTCCCAACATCCTACTAGCTGAGACCTCTCTTGGACAATTCAGCCTTTTCTTCTAACAGATCCTACCATCTAGCATTCTGCGGGTGCTGACCTTCACATCTCTCTCTCAAAGAGAAAGCTCCCCCAGTTCTTCTCTCTACCCTTCTGCCTGTTCTTGCTTTTTTTTTTGTCTGGCTGAGGTCTTTCCTCAGTTTCTCCTGGCTGCTAGTGAATGCCCAGTCTCCTGGCTTCCGCCATGACTCCTCAACATTCCCCGCTCACGTCTACACCTGAACTACACCTAGGCATTTCCTGTTGTCTCTGGACAACTTCAGTTAAAGGTCTACCATAAACTGCACATGTCAAAATCAAGTCTCACCCTCCTCCACAAAACAGGCTGCCACCCCTGCCCCCTCATTTCTCTAAGCTGGCATCACTGTTTTGTTTCAGATACCCGAGTCTGAGACAGGTCTGAGAGAATGTTCTGTGAGAGTGGAATTGTTTTCCTATCTCTGCTGTCTGTTACGGTAGCTATCAGCCACATGTGGCCACTGAGCACTTGCAATTTGGCTAAAGTAACTAAGGGATTAAATTTTAAATTAATCCCTTAGTTATTTAAATAAAATTTAAATTAATTTGAAATTTATATATAATTACATGTGGTTAGTAGATATTGTACTGGACAACACAATTCCAACCTCCCCTTCTTTATCTGCGCCCAGCCTTCCCATCTCCAAGGCCACCAGTCCTTTTTAAATGCTTCTTGGGGTATCTCTGTTTCAGTTCCTGCCATCTGCTCCCACCGCTGGGTTAACTACCACCTAGAGAAATGCAGTGTCCCTACCCGGCACCCATGTTAAAGCTCTGTCCTTACAAATGCACCCAACACACAAGTAATAATAACAACGTTTCCAGCCTAGGAGTTTACAATGCTTTCCTCTTGCTAATCAAATAAAGGCAAGTTTCTGGGCTTCATGTCTAGGCTTTCCCTCATCAGAGCTACTCCTGTGGCACAGCATCCTCTCCCACTCTGCATAAGGCAACCTGATCATCTCATTATTGTTGTCAATCACTACGTTCATTTCTGCCCCTGTACCTACTTTCTTCTTTGTGCAAATTGTAAACCATCTGGAACTTCACCCTGAAGTTCCATCTACCAACCCTTGCCTTATTGACCAAAGTCACCTATTATCCCCTGAAATCCTAGAGTACTAATTGTTATCTAGTAGTAGTATCTTTTTGCTGTACAAAGGTTCATCACAGATCCTCAACAAGATCAAAACTACATTGCTTTGTATCACTTATAATAAGGCTGCTAGATGCTTACTGGCTCTCAGGTGATTAAAATGCTCACAAAATGGCCAATCATACAATTTATCTTGCTGATCTTTAATAAGGAGACTAGAAAGACAAGGGTAAGACAGTTTGGTTCAACAAGTTGGACAGGTTTTGATGGTGGCTAGTCAAGCTTATCTTACACGAGTAAACCATAAACCAATGATTACAAGGCAAACAGTTATGCTGTACAACCTGTTAGCACTGGAGTGGAGAGCACATTAACATTTAAATAGCCAGAGCCCACACTGCCTCCAGACTCAGCCCTGCACCAGCAAGGGGAGTACTTTCAAATGCAAACTAACGGTGGCAGCACGACTCCCCAAGTATGAACGTCAAAGTAGTTAAAGCCTGAGTGGAGGATCACGTCTATGAAAGTAGTCTAAACTAACTGGTCAACAAAAGTATACAAATCTTAGAAGGCAGTTCACAGGGCTGCTTGAAGAAACAGCTAGCTGCAGGTCCGAGGAAGGACCCCATACCAAAGCAGCAAGGGACATCGTGTGCCAGAGAGCACAGAAGCAATCGAAGACTGATGGGGTCTGGCTTGAAGGACACAGGAGCCCACCTGACGGGGAGGAGCTCTCAATGGCCCAAGATGGCGGTTTGGACATAAAATTTGAACATGATAACTGGAATGGATTGAAACACATTAAGTATATATTAAAAAAAAAAAAAACCCAATCCTTCAGTTCACAAGTGCCAGGGATGCATGGCCACAAGAGAAGTTCACGCGGGGTCACAGCAAGAAGGCAGCCATCTGCAAACCAAGATGAGAGGCCTCAGAAGAGACCAAGCCTGCCGACACCTGGTCTTGGACTTTGTGATCCAGGACTGAGAAAATAAATGTCTGTTTTTTAAGCTACCAAGTCTGTGGTATTTTGTCATGGCTGTCCTACAAACTAAATGCTTCAAGTGTATGATCTGTGTAAACTTGGGTTTCTTCATATTTCTGGGCCCCGGTTCCTTATTTGCAGAATGGGGATATTCACAGAACTTATCCCTAGATTTTGAGGATGAAATGAGGTTATCTTTATCGCAGAGCCTGCCTCATAGTAAGGGCTAATGTTAGCTTTTATTACTATTGCTGTAATTGTAATAATGATCATTATCATCATTGTTATTAGTGTCTCCAGAGGGACAGTTATCAGGCCCCTTCTCTATATGACTGAAAAGTGAGCAATAATGTTATATGCCCAAAATGTTGTATCTTTTTATAATTATAAACCTGCCTTTTTTTTTAAGCCTCACTCCCTGCTTTATTTTTTAATCTTCACTTGAGAACATTTTTTTCATTGCTTTTAGAGAAGGTGGAGGGGAGAGAGAGAAACACTAATGCGAGAGAGAAGCATCGAATGGTTGCGTCCTGATCACATGCACCAGGACTGGGGAACAAACCCACAACGCAGGCATGTGCCCTGACCGGGAATCGAACCCATGACCCTTCCATATGGGTTGACATTCCATCCACTGAGCCACACTGGCCAAGACCAAAAGTCTGTTTTTATAGACGAGGAAATCTTCCTTTTTAAAGATTTTTGGGGTCTGGTAAGAAGACTTGAATATTTAAAAAAAATAAACTATGATTGTGAAACAAACTCAATAACAACAACAAAAAAACCAAACAAACAAAAAACCCCTTGAGTTCATCATGACCTGATCACCAATTTAGGATAGAGGATAAAGATCAGGTTAAATGAAATTATAGGGATGCATATTTCAAATGCGTGATTTTTCCCACAAATGCAAAAAAAAAAAAAAAAAAAATCCAGTTGCTTTAACAAATAAATGGTATATTTTTAAAAAGGGGGCTGGAACTATTATATATGAAAAGAGAGTTAAGAATCATATCAACCCCCCTGGCCAGGTAGCTCAGCTGATTAGAGCAGTGACCCAATAAGCCAAGGTTGTGGGTCCGATCCCAGGTCAGGGCACCTATAAGAACCAACCAATGAATGCATAAATAAGTGGAATAACAAATCAATGTTTGTTTTTTTCCTCTCTCTTCCTCTCTCTCTCTCTCTCTCTCTCACACAAATCAATAAATTTAAAAAAAGAAGAAGAAGAAAAGCATCATATCAACCAAATTCAGTGTTGGGGCTTTGTTTGGAGCCTGATTTAAACAAATCAACAAAATGACTTTTTTTTTTGGTGAAAAACCAGGGAAATCTAAACACAGAACACTGGATAATGTTAGGTTTGTAAATGGCATTGTGATTATGTAAAAAAAAAAAAAAAAAATCCTCAGATGCATGATCTACTCACCATGGAAGCAAACTGAGGTGATGTTGTGCGAGGAGGAAGGAACACATGGAACAAGAATGACACAGTTCAATAACCAGTGACGCTGGGTGGGTAGGAGAGGGTTTTTTATATTACTCTCTGCAGTCTGATGGACCTACGCGCAGTAAAGGCTACAAAGGGTGGGCGGATGGGTTCTGCTGGGCCCCAGCCCCAGTATCATGAGACTCTGCGTGTCTCCTCTGGTTGCCAGCGCAGGTTTTTCGGCTCTGGCTAGCTCGGATGGACGGATGGATGAATGAGAGCTTTCAACTTCCTCTTTGAATTGTATCTTAATATTCTAACTTACATGGTGTTTAACAATGTTCCTATCATACCCCTAGCTACTCTAAAGTGGAAAATGTAGGCAGAAATAACTACTTTATAGATTTTAATAATGATGGCTTTCTATGAAAAAGGAAATCACTGGCTTTCAAAATACACAAAGGTTCTTGGAAGCTGCCTGAAGAATACCAAAATTTCAGACTGCTCTGGGATTGACACAACAACAAAAAAATTAGATGCCAAAAGCACTGTATGGTAGTATCTGAAGAAGCAACAGATAGTTAGAAACAGAACAAAGGAAACAGAACGCTGGCATCCAGCACATGCACTGACTCATGCTTTGCCTCAGCAAGTCTAAACTTGGGGGAAGCGTTAAGCCAGAGACAAGAATCAGAGCGAGGCAAGCTGTGAAGTTAGGGGCAGGGGAGCGAGCCGATTCACACCGACAGCCACGCCAGTCCAACGCCTGCCCGCCTGCCCATTTAACAGTCCCCGCCAAAGCGGGGCACACGGACACACACCGCACCCAGGGCTGAGGGACAGCTCCGGCGCCAAACAACGGGGGTTGCTTTGCCAGTCAGGGAGGCTCAGCGATGAGGAAGAGGATTTGTTTTGTTTTGAAGTTTAAGTTTTTAGGCTTTTTTGATTTTTTTTAAAACTAACAAACTACCCAGACATAAATGCCTGCTTAGTCCAGCAGGAACTGAGTTGGTTATTGAGTGGATAGACAGGAAAAAAGCAAAGGATACTACTTCATGGACAAGTTCTCTGTAGACTGACCAAAGTTAAGCTCGGTAACATCCATGCTCCATTTACTAGGCAGCTTTTACTGCCTTACAGTGTGCATGTCTATTGAAAGATGTCTTCCAAGTATGTGATTTAACTGACATTTCATTCCCTTGAACTTTTTAAATCTTAGAGAACAGAAATAAGACCACAGAGGACTTTTTTCCTTCAGTCACGCATGATTTAAAAGCTTACATTATTACGATTCCCCTACCTTTACACTTGCATGGGCATTTTCAAATTCAGTTTAGTTCACAGGCTGAATTTTAAGGAGGGAAATTTGTTCAAAAGCTACTAAAAAATAAGCCGAGTGAACCATAGAGAACGCTTTCCCATATTCAACATCCTGTTTTTGCCCAAGACCATCTTTCCTTTTTATTTTTCAACTGAGAATATAAATTTTATTACATTGTACATACCCTTTCAATAACATGAACAAAATATTCTGTTGGGTGCAGATGTATTCAACGGTAGGAGTCCTTGTACCAATTTGTCTTCTGAGAATATTGTTGAAGATTTGAGCCACATCTTTTTTGCCCTATTAGGAATACAATCATTAAAACATTTACCCGACTAAACATCAAAAAGCCTATCCACCCTCCCAGTTGGACTCAAATCAAGGCATTGCATATTTATAATTATGACCAAATATATGACCATAAAACATTCACAGACATTAAATTTTATTATTTTATTTCTTTATAATTTCAAATTCTAAGTTTTAACAGTGCACTATTTTCAACCTGAGCAATGTGTTGACAAAGTGAAATCTCACTACATACAATTTCAGCCATTTTCAACTCTCAGAATATTGCTCAGATATGAAAAACAAAATCTTGCTATATATTTTACAATGTTCAGGGATCTGATTCCCACCCAAATGGAACAGATAGCCTAAACAGGATACTTGTGCTATAAACAATACAAAAACTCATCTTTTATTGTGATGTAAGGAGAAACTGTACACTACTAATAAAAATGAAAGAATTCGATAAGAAGCTGAGCTTTAATGGTAAGTAGATACATGCCCTGATTAAACTAGGCCTACCCGGGAAAAACTTTACATAGATTAACAATGAAGGTGCTAAATATCACATGATGCAGCAGTTCAGGTCAGAATCACGCCACTGTATTTGACTAAACAAAATAGATGGACATTACCACTGTAAAGTGAACCTTAAACACTGCATAAGAAAGTAACAAATGCAGCACTGGATGCCAAGAGATGTTTCAGAATGGCTACTTGTTCAGAGGCTGACAAACCTGCAGGAGACGGAGTGAACAACAGCTTTCCAATGCCAGAGGTCACCCTGTGGCCTACGCTGGGTCAGGAGTTGTAATAGCATCTCTAAGAACCAGCCTCAAGGGCACCCACTTCTTTCAAATTTGTGTCTCTAGAGTCCCAAATGAGTGTTATTAACTTCACTGACCAGGCTTGGGAATGGGGTGGGTGGACAAAGGAGAAGGAACTGGATGTTCAGCTCATTCCCAACATTGCAGAGGCAAAAAAAAACCAAAACAACTGTTGTTAAAATTTGATACACTATTAAAAATAGATGAAATCAGCTATATAAATGGAAAATAGCCCTACTTGCTCTACAGGATAGAAATAAATTTTTATTCTATTATCAATGTTACATTTGAGTAAACTATGAACTCCATCCTCAGATCTCTCTCCAAAACTGAATCTGGCTATATTCTGCCACCGACTCCCCTGGTTTTTCCTGTACCCGCACAGACATCGCATCACGGAGGATGACAGACGCCGGGCCTTGAGGCACACCCACAATAAAGACTCAGAGGATCAGAACCACACTAGAGCTCCTCACTAGCATGTATGTATTTATTTCTCAGACTGGGATCAAGAACCATTATTCTCACTGTTACACTAACTAAATATTTAATATGGCACGATGAGGCTGTATAAGCTTGGGAAACAATCTCATATGCCTCCCAGTGCCAGGCAGGGGCTGCGAATGGGTAAAGCGGGTCCTAAGGCAGAAAAGCAGGCTGCGCTGTGGCCACACACCCAAGTGTGATCTCCTGTGTCGGAGGGGCTTGCTCCTCTGCTCCAGCTGAGAGACCATGTAGGACTATAGGCCTAATGTTACCAGCGTCAAAACTTTCAGGAGAAGCCAGAAATTCAAAATTGTGTATAAAATATCCTACTACTTAAATGACATTCTAATTTAAACATGTATAAACAGTGCCAAGCAAAACACATAGGATCTCTGCTGTAATGAATTCTCAACAGATAAAAACAAAAACCAAACAAACAAAAAAAAGCCCTGGACGTTCTTGGAGATACCACCTACCTCTAGCATGCTAACATTCTACAGGCGTCTTTTGAGTGCTTATTCCTTGAGAACCAAGGAGCAATGAGTTATGTAAAAGAGCAGCTGTGCATTGAAGGGCATGACGGATACCTGAGAAACCTCCTGTACGATGTGGTGAAACAGGGGGAGAAGACCTGGCCCGAGTCTGGGACGCTGAGCGCCTGCCTGGCTCTGCTAGCGAGGAGGCAGCCTGGGCATGCTTACAGGTCTGCCACCCGGAGCCAAGAGCCAACTGAGTCTCCAGCTGCTCTAAGGGACAGAGCACATGGAAAAGGGCTGTGAATAGGGGGCTGTTGGTGAAAACTCAGAAACCGATTTGTTACCTCAAAGTCAATGAGCTGCAGGTCCGCTACCAGGGTGCTCAGGAGCCCGCTATTGTATAGCTCTTGAGCGAGCTGTGCCACTGCTTCCGTCTGTGGCTCTTTTTCATTTGTGCCATAGAGAATTTCTTTCATGGCAACCAGATTTTTGGAAACTTCTTCTGTGGCCTGATTTTGGGGGAGGGGAGAAAAACAATTCATTAAAAAAAAACACAAAAAAACCAAACACATACATAGCACAACACCCACATCTGTTAAATAAACCTTTGCTATGTATTATAAACCCACGGGCCTATGTCAAGACACAAAAGTGGGCAAACCCCAAAGCCACCCTCAGAAGCTTACCACTGCATGTATGTACACACACCTGGAAACCAACACACATGCAAACCAGCACAGAGGCTTGGCAGATTTGCAGCATGTACCCCTGAACACTGAAAATCATATTATGACAGAAACAGAACAGGGAGGAAAGGTTCAATTCTGCACCAAATGGGAGGAAAACAACATGAAAGAGGCACCGGAACTGACCCGCGGACTGGAGGCAATGGTAAGTAAGCACTGGGGCGAGCGGGACTGAGCGGCAAGAATTGGCAAGAGCCAGGAATGGAGGGGTGGGAGTGAAGCACAGGGTCTGTCAAAAAAAGGTGCAGAGAAAAGAAGGGAGTGACAGCGGAGAATGAAGCTGAACGGGGCTTTGACTGTGAAGGTAAAATGTCGGTGATAAATAAAAGGTCACTAAAGAGCTTCCACTTCTGCCCAAAATGGAGGAACAGGGGCCAGATTTTACCTTTCCCCATGAAAAAAGACTAAAGAGTAGAAGAACATTCTGAAACAACAAATTCTAAGCCTTGAACTTCAGGCAGCACAGGAGAGTGATCCCTGAGAGAAGGGACGCGAATTAAATGAACCGCCCAACAGCGCTGCGCCGTGCGGGCAGGCGGAGCAGCAGCGAGGAGAGGGCTCCCGGAGACGAGTGGGAGAGGGGGGTGGGAGAGCTGCAGGGGCGCTGCTTCCCCAGCTGAGCCCGGCCTGAGGGGCACGAGCCTGCGAGGGGAGTGTCCCAGGCCAGGGAAAGGGCGCTGGGCTCGCAAGGGCTGCAAACGGTTCCTGTTCCCGTCGACCTGAGGACAAGCTCCTGCTCACAGGGCAGAGAGCGGAGATTTCAAAGGGTTTCATCTCAGTGAATAACGAGGAGGGAAAGCAATCAACAGAAAGAGCCCTGCAAGTGACACAAGTGACAGAATTAATTAACAAGGACGTTAAAAATTACTATAACTATAGTCACTGTGTTCAGGAAAAAAACGAACCGGTTAAATAAAGGTAGGAAAAACATTTTTTAAAAAAGACCCAAATCAACACCTAGAAATAAAACACAATGTTTGAAATAAAAATTACACTGGATAGAATTAACAGCAGATTAGACATTGCAGAAGAAATCGTTAATGAGTTTAAAGATAAAGCAATAAAAACAATCCAAAATGAAACACGGAGCAGGGGTGGGGTGAGGGAGAGAGCACATCAGCACGTCGGAGGGCGACTGTCAGCAGCGTCACACGCGTGTGGCCGCAGCCCCCAAAGGAGGGGGAGGAGAGACAAAATAAATGAAGATGTAATGGCTAAAAAATTATCAGATTTGGTGAAAACGATAATCCCGTGGAGCCAATAAATTAAAAAACTAAGAACAAGAAACAGAGAACACTACACCGAAGTGTGGAATAATAAAATTGTTTTAATTCAGTGAAGAGAAAAATTTAAAAGCAACCAGAGGGTAAAAAAATCAAAGAATTACAACAGACTTCTTGATAGAATGAAGTCAGAAGATAGCAGAGGACCATCATTAAAGTTCTGGAAAAAGACAAAGTAAACTGTCCTCTTAGAATTCTATACCTAGTGAAAATATCATTCCAAAAACAAAGCTGACTAAAGAGTTGTTGAGACAGAAAAGCTGGAAGATTGTCACCCGTCGACCTGCACTGTAGCAAATGTTTAAGGAAGTCCTACAGACGGAAGGAAAAAAATTCAAGATGAAAATCTGCACATACAGAAAGGAATGAAGAGCACTGAAGATAGCAATGCGGGTAAATATAAAAGACATCCCCCTTATCATTAAAAAAAGTCTTTAAAAGACATCTGGCTATTTAAAGCATAAATAATTATGTATTCTGAGCTTATGACACACGTAGAACAACAATGTGTGACAACAATTCAAAGGTGGGTAATAGAATGTAGTAAGGTTCTTACATAGGCAGCAGAATAATATTTCTGAGACTGTAGTAAGTTAAAGTTATATGCTATTAAGTCCTACAGGAACCACTAAAAAAACAAAACAAGACTTACAGCTAATAACAAAGGAGATTCAAGTAGGATGCTAAAGATATGTGCAAACATAAAGGCTATACAAAGCTATATAAACCGCGGTATTTGTAAACAGAAATCTACTTCAAGGAGACTGGTTAGCACAGATTGCAGGGTGTAAGCAATTACTGGCAGCTAAAGAATCACCTAGTCCCATGATGCTCCCTTCTACAACCTTCTAATATCCTTACTAAATGATCACCTGCTTCACCCTAAGTAGTTTCAGTGTCTGCAGTGTTCGCAGATTCCAGAACCAGGGAGCTGTCAGAATATTTCTTGAGACAAACACTGCCTCGCTCTAGCGTCTGTGCGAGCCCTGGGGCTGCGCCGCAGACTGGGCAGTGCCCTAGCGGCTCTTCCACAGAAAGGCTCCCCTTTGAAGACAGCCTGCTCATCTGCCCTGAGTAGTCTTCCCCTGGAAACCTCTCAGCTTCTTTACCACCCTCCCGAGGAAGACAGGGCTCCCGGTCCAACCCTAGTCAAAATGGAATGATGCCGAAGACATCAGACCCCACGTTCCTCGAAATGTTCCAAATGTTAACGTAGCCCAAGGCGATCTTTAAGAATTTTTGCAATTATATCATAAATTCATTTAAAGCCAGATCTCTGTATGACAGTGCAATGAAGGCTTTAACTCTTCCCACTATTTTATTTAATCTCATTAACAGCCCATCATTCAACAATGTACAGGTATTTCTGGACTTGGAAGGACATCCATTGTACTGGCTATCACTCTCCTGTTTGTATCATCTGAAAATATGACCGGTATGTTTCCCATGGCCTCAATAATTAACCATAATGCTAAAAAGGAAATAACCATGAAGGAAGCCTATCATTATGCCTTTGAATCACCACGTTCTTTTCAGTAACAATCTACTTACTAATAATCATTGGGCATGGCTGCTCAACCACTTACACATACAACTATTTCCAAATCATATTCAAGCTTTAAAAAAAAAAAAAAAGAGTTTATTTATTTATTTTAGACAGAGGGGAAGGGAGGGAGAAAGAGAGGGAGAGAAACATCAATGTGTGGTTGCCTTTCTTGTGCCCCCTGCTGGAGAAGTGACCCACAACCCAGACATGTGCCCTGACTGGGAATCGAACCAGTGACCCTTTGGTTCACAGGCTGGCACTCAATCCACTGAGCCACACCAGCCAGGGCTCAAGTGGCTTTTTGTTAAATACTTTTCCTAAGCATAAGAAAATGAAATAAAATCAATTTGGGGAGACCTTTTTATGTAGCCTACCCTGAGTTCTATTGACTATTACTTCTATTCTAAGTGCTTAAAAATCATCCGCCTAATGTAATAATCCCATTATGAAACCTTAATCAGTATCAGTGTTAAACAGAATCTTTACCTCTTCCAGTCTGCTGTCACTACCCTATTCTGTTCATGACTCAGATTTCTGACAGTTTGTCATCCCATATACAAATTTTAAGAACCTCTGATTGCACTTTATCTGGTCCAGTAGATGAAATCATTTATCAACAGTAAGTGTTCTCTTAAAATCTAATTCTATGGGTTGCTTTATCAATTTAATTTTATTAATCTTCATCCTCAGGATGATTCTCTTTGACAGGGAAGAATCTGATAGTTGGTAGGTTTTCTGAGTCTATTATCTGTTGATTTTACACCCATGACCTAAGCAGTAGGCCTCGGCCCCCTTTGTTGCCCTGGCTAGATCAAAGTTTTGAGGTTCACAGTAATCCTCCAATGCCCAGTTTATAGTCGTCTTTGAAATCATGACATGATTTCAAACCTGAATTGAGACCACACTCTGCTCTCTCCTGATAGCAAAAGACGAGTAAGAAGGCGGGAAGGCGACGGTGACAGCTAAAGGGCATGGGGTTTCTTTCTGAGGTGATGGAATGTTCTAAAACTGACTGTGGTTATGACTGCACATTATCTGAATAAACAGAAAACCACTGAATTATACACTTAAGTCAGTTAACTGTATGAGTTATGTCTCAATAAAGCTGTTTAAAAAAACAGGGAAGAGAGGAGGAAATGAAAAGCTCATTATGAAGATTCTGAGATGAAAAGCCACCTGGACTCATATGTAAAGCCCTCTTCTCCCCTCTCTGAAGATGACACTGTCACCTACACTTCGGGTGGGGAGGGAACACGACAGGACTCGCCCCATCTGCTAACTATTACCCTTACCTGCCCATTCGGAGCCTCCCTGCCGGTGGACTCCGGCCATCCCTGCCTCCTCAGGGACTCACTCTCTCTGCTCTCGCACCTTCTTCCAATAGTCAGCTCCCCTCACTTGATCCCCACCCCTCAGCTTTAAATATGATCAAGACTCCCAAGAACAAAATCAAATCAACTCTCCCCTGACTCCATAACCCTCTCCAAGCAACTGCCCAGCATAAACAAACCTCTCAGAACATCTGCCTGGGTTTGCTGCACTCCCCACTTCTTTCCTATTCCCTCTTCGGCCCAGTCATATGTGGCTTCTGTACCTAGTACTTGAGAGCGTGTGGCCCATCACCAATGACCTGCCTGCCGCTAGGCACAATGTTCAGCCTTCATTCCAGGGCTCTCAGCAGCACCGGAGCTGCCAACTGCGCGCTTCTTTTAAAACCGCTCCTCCCTTGTCCTCTGTTACCACCACCCTAATTTGTTCCTTCCTGTCTCCCTTTTGGCTTATCCTCTGTGACAAGGCCATTTAAATATTGGGAATTCCTCAGGACAGGGCACAAGGCCCTCTCCTCAGTCTATCACCCCTCCCTGGGTGATCTCACTCACACCCACAGCTTTAATGAACACCTCCATGCCGATGCCTCCCAGATTCCTATCTCT